CAACTCAATTTCACGTTTCCATAACAATTGTCATTAATTACACTAATGACCCAAATATACCCAAACATGGCGTTTTCTCCATTTTTCTCAATATTAACCCAAAGGTCCAAATATTATCAACAACATCAATACCCTCCTTTTTAGACCCAATAGCGATCCTGGTTTATCCTCTCTTTATTTATTTTCTTTTGGACTCGGTTCCGTGGATGTGTTGTTGTCTCATTCTCATTAGAATCCTTTACTCCTTGTATTTGTGTCTTAGGTTGTGTTGGGCAGGTTTGAAACAGGTTGGCTATGCTTTGAAACCAAAGATTGATGCCCAGAATATGGCCTTCACGCTCGAGCGAAGCTTTTGACGCTCGAGCGGGCCCTTCGTTGTGGCTTCTCCGCTCGAGCGGGAGTTTTGACGCTTGAGCGTGAATATCCATCTCCCAGTATTTTTCTCTGCAGGTCTTCGTATGCTAGAGCGGGAGTTTTGACGCTCGAGCGTGACCCTTTTGATTTTGTTCCTCCGCTCGAGCGGAGAGTTTGACGCTTGAGCACGGACCATGTCTGCAAAACTTCTGCAGGTGTGCAATCGACGCTCGAGCGACGCTTTTGACGCTCGAGCGTGAGTCTGTATCTAACGCTTGAGTGGGGATTTCTACGCTCGAGCGGGGCGATTTTTATAACACTCATAGATTTCACTTTTTCGATCACTTTTTGATTTCCTTTCTCTCTCTTACTTTTTCAAAACCTCCATTGAGGAGCACCTCACTCTAAAACCTTACCTTCTCTCTAGGGATTGATCTAGTATGAGTGATTTCCTCACCTTGGGCCTTTGTAAAAATTATGTGGATCGTTGAGGGCTATCTTTTGATCCGAAAATCTTGGGATTTGGTGCACTTTGAGTTTCTTCATCTTCTTCCTTTGAGCTCCGAATTTGAGGTAGGGATTCTTACTCATTCTTATGTGTTTTAACCTAAATGTTGAGCTATTTGTATAGATGGTTTGATTTGGGAGGTTAGGGTTTGAAATGTGCTATATTGAAAAGAGGGGTTTTGGTCCTTTGACTCATATATGTATATTTCGGGTCTTAAAAAGAGATTAGTGATGTTGTTGGTAATATTTGAGCATTTGGGTCAATATTAGGGAAAATGGGAGAAAATGCCATGTTTGGGTATATTTGGGTCATTAGTGTAACTAATGACCAATGTTATGGAAATATGAAAATGAGCTAGAAATAATGAAATTGGTTCAATATAAGGTAGAACGGTGGAGTTGGATTTATTAATCACTCACCTTTGAAATTGTTGGTAATTTATCTGTTGAGGCATTTATTATCTGTTTAGAAATAATTGCTTGGGCTATCGGTGGAGGATAGTCTTGATTGTTGTAGACAATGCATGATGATTAGGTGAACTAAAACTAATCAATTGGAAATGTCATCGAATATGCCGGTTATAATAATACATCAAATTTATGTATTGATTGATTATGTATATGATATGTGATTATATACATTATATTGTATGGGAGGAGATAGGGGATGTACTCCATGGTTTTGGGGAAGATATGGGATGGACCCCTAAACCGGACATTGTTTGGGAGGAGATAGGGGATGTACACCATCGATTCAGCAAATTTGTGTATCTATTGAAGTATTGATATAGCAAATCTGTATATCATATGCAAAGTGTGGAAGTGTTTTAATTGAAATCTAATGTGAAGCATGAAGTGTTTAATTTGAGTTGTTATCTCAATTGAAATGAAAGAATTATTGATATGAGTTGTGATCTCATTTAAAGTATATGGCCTAGCCAGGTTCTGAGCCAGGATTATGAATTGAGAAAATTGGATAAGAAATGGAATATGAAACGAAACATGGACATATTTGTCCTGAAATTGAAATGGATTATGAATTGATTTATGTGAGTTAAACATTTATCAAATGCTAATGTTTTAGTTATTGCTCATATCATGTTTAGTATATCTCTACTGGGCGTTGGCTCACCCTATATGGGACATCATTTTCAGGTACAAGTAGTATGCCACCTCCAAGGACATAACTTGGAGGGCTTGAGGCTATTGGATTCTTTTGTTGTTTCATATTGTATTACATGTACATCAAGCCGAGGGCTTATTTTATATAGAGTTAGTACTCTCTTTTTGTAACCAAGTGTTGACTTGAAAAGTTGTAAGCCTATAGGACATTTACTGTTGTTGTCAATATGTAATACCTTTTGTAAGAATACTCTGATGATTTTAATGTGAGAACTTTTTTCTCTATCGTGAATGTATAATATTATGGGTTTATTTTGAGGGCGTTACAGTTCGCCTAATCATCATGCATTGTCTACAACAATTAAGACTATCCTCCACCGATAGCCCAAAACAGTTATTTCTAAACAGATAATAAATGCCTAAACTGATACATAATTTCAACATTTTCAAACTTAGCGGTTAATAAATCCAACTCCACTATTCCATCTCATAATGAGCCAATTTCATTATTTCCAACTCAATTTTACGTTTCCATAACAATTGTCATTAATTACAGTAATGACCCAAATATACCCAAACATGGCATTTTCCCCATTTTTTCTCAATATTGATCCAAAGGTCCAAATATTATCAACAACATCAATACCCTCATTTTTAGACCCAAAACAGATATGTTTGAATCAAAAGAGCAAAAACCCCTCTTTCCAATATAACACATTACAAACCCTAACTTCCCAAATCAAACCATTTATACAAAAAGCTCAACATTTTGGTTAAAGCTCATAAAGATGAGTAGGAATCCCTACCTACCCTTGACACAATAGATTCGGTATAACGTCTGGCCAAGCCTAACCAATATAACTAATTTTCTTTATATGGGTTTATACAAAAAGCTCAACATTAGGTTAAAGCTCATAAAGATGAGTAGGAATCCCTACCTCAAGAGATGAGGCCCAATGGAGAAGATGAAGAATTTCGAGATGCTCCAAAATCCAAGATTTTTGGATCAAAAGATAGCCCACACCAAGATCAACACTTTTTACAAAGGCCCGAAGGTGGGAGGTCACTAGGGCTAGATGATTTCTTAGAGAGAAGGTAAGGTTTTAGAGAGAGAAGCTCTCCAATGGTGGTTTTCGAAAAGTAAGAGAGAGAAAGGATGTTGAAAAGTAATCCTAAAAGTGAAATCCCGAAGTGATATAGAAGTCGCCCCGCTCGAGTTTGGAAACCCCCGCTCCAGCGTCAAACACAGACTCACGCTCGAGCGTCAAAATGCCCGCTCGAGCGCCGGATGCACACTCACAGAAGTTTTGCAAGCGATGGTCCCTGCTCCAGTGTCAAACTCCTCGCTCGAGCGGAGGAACAAAATCAAAGGGTCACGCTCGAGTGTCAAAACTCCCGCTCGAGCGTATGAAGACCTGCAGAAAAAAATACTGGGAGATGGAAATTCACGCTCGAGCGTCAAAACACCCGTTCAAGTGGAGAAGCAACAACAAAGGGCCTGCTCGAGCGTCAAAAGCCCCGCTCGAGCGTGAAGGCCAAATTCTGGGCATCAACTTTTGGTTCCAAAGCACAACCAACCTATTTCAAACTTGCCTAACACAATCTAAGGCTCAAATACAAAGAGTAAGGGAAAGAAATGAGAATGAGACAACAACACAACCACGGAACCAAGTCCAAAATACAATATACAAAGGAAGGAAAAACCGGGATCGTTATAGTTTTCAATTTTAAAACTACAAAAAACTGATAATGTTTTCAGTTTTATAGGATAGTTGAATCAAACTAATAAGTAGAAGGGTAAAAACGTTTAATCCTATACTCTATTTTTTTTCATCAATTAGTGAAACAATTATCTGGAATATTACTATACAAAATTGATAATGTTCTTAGTTTTAAAAATTGAAAACAAAAACTGATAATATTCTCAGTTTTACTAAATAAGATTTATTGATTCAAAAAATCTTAGATAGAACTTGAGCTATCATAATATTTATAAATAGAACTTTTAAATAATTAACTCTTCTTTGTTTAATTTCTACTAAGTTTTTCCTAAAAGTAAGGACAAATGTTGCGTGTGTCCATCAAAGCAATCTTAACGTGTTTTTTTGGTGTTGTAAAAAAAAAAAAATAGTAAAATAAAATAAAATCTGTAATGTATACTTCGTCAATGTTATGAATCATTATGATTATGCTATAAATAGAATAATATAGTGTAAATGTTATGTCTTAACTAATTGTAAATTAAATCCACATGGAATTTACAGTTGCTCCAAAGATTCCAAGAGAGTGGTCCATCTCTCTCTCTCCCCCTCTCTCTCTCTCTCTCTATATATATATATATATACAGGGCCGGTCTTGAGATTTAGGAGTTCAAGGCGAACTTCAGAAATTGGGCCCTCTTACATTAAAAAAAAAAAACATTCATGAATAAAACAATAAGTTACAACTTTTTTATTTGTTTGTAATCACAAAAAAATTTACTTGCACATATAATCATTAGAATTATAAACAAAAATTTATTTTCATATATTAAAATAGGAAATAATTATTACAAATATTTTAAAAAAATAAAAATCTAGTCTTGTTAGTTTTATTTTTTTTTTGGCCCTATGCTCAATTGGGCCTATAATATTTAGGCTTTTTTCCTTTTTATATATCTAAAACGCAAAATTATATTGAGACTCCTATTTTCAACCCCAATTTAGGCCCAAGGCAATAGCCTCTTTTGTCTACCCACAGGCCAGCCATGTATATATAATATATTTGTGATAGTGGTCCATTTCTTATACTTTTAGTTGACCCACAGGCCGGCCGTGTATATATATATATATTTGTGATAGTGGTCCATTTCTTATACTTTTAGTTGACCCACAGGCCGGCCGTGTATATCTATATATTTGTGATAGTGGTCCATTTCTTATACTTTTAGTTGACGTACAAAAAGAAATAAATAAATAATTATTAAACTCTGTTGAGCATTTTTTTTCTCCATAATGACGTGGCAGTCCATGTTTGTAGACTTGACTTGACTCCCAACTATAAAAGCACATCACTGCCATTAACTTCCTCATGGAAGATTTGTAACCAAATTTGATCATGGGTACATCTTTGTATCTTTATACTCTCTTGCTCTTGTGTTGTTTTTTTCATCTTATTATATTGAGTAATTCTTCCTCTTCTCCACCACCACTATGCCATGAAGATGAGAGCTTAGCCTTACTACAGTTCAAACATAGCTTTTTCATTAACAAGTCCGCTTCACGTGATCCTTCGGCTTATCCAAAAGTCCAATCATGGAGGCTTGATGGAAAAAGCAGTGATTGCTGCTCATGGGATGGCGTCGAGTGTGACCACCACACTGGTCATGTGATTGGCCTTGACCTCAGTAGCAGTTTTCTCTATGGCTCTTTCAACTCCAACAGCAGCCTCTTCAACCTGGTTCACCTTCGGAGGATAAATCTTGCTGACAATGACTTCAATTATTCTCAAATCCCATCGAAGATTGCACATCTTTCAAGGTTAAGAAGTCTTAACCTATCCCAATCTTTATTTTATGGTCAAATACCTTCAGAAATTTCAAATCTTTCCAAGTTAGTTTTTCTTGATTTGTCTGGGGCTTTTTTGAATCTTGAAAAACCAAATTTGGGAGACCTACTTAAAAATCTAACACATTTGAAAGTAGTTGACCTCAGTTGGGCGAATATATCTTCTACAGTCACAAGTGATTTGTCAAACATGTCTTCACTAACAACTCTTAGGCTTCGAGATTGTCGACTGTATGGTAAATTCCCAACAAGCATTTTTCGACTACCAAACCTTCAGTTTTTAAATGTGGAAGACAATGAAAATCTCACTGGTTGTCTGCCTGAATTTCACCGTACTAGTCCCCTGAAAGCATTGGAAATTGCACGAACGAATTTCTTTGGAATCCTACCGGATTCAATTGGTAATCTTGAATCCTTAAGCATTTTGGCATTAAATGAATGCAATTTCTCAGGGATGCTACCAGCTTCCCTTGGTAATCTAGCCCAGCTCACCATTTTGCACCTTGGTACTAATCATTTTTGGGGTAAAATTCCTTCATCCTTGTCAAACCTAACACAACTAACTCACTTACGTCTTGGTAACAATAATTTCGATGTAGGAGCCCTCTTGCTGATACTAGGCAAGCTATCCAAACTCTCTGTCATAGACCTTGAAGGTATGAAAATACATGGTGATATACCACAATCTCTTGCCAACATGACCCAACTAACCTATTTGTCCTTAAGGTCAAATGAATTACTTGGTCAAATCCCATCTTGGCTTATGAACGCCACGCAATTAATTGCTCTAGACCTCTCACACAATCAATTGCAAGGCATGATTCCAAGCTCAATCTCTCAACTTGAGCATCTTGAATCTCTTGATTTTGCTGATAACAACTTGATTGGTAAAGTCAAGATTGACATTTTTCTCAAGCTCCTAAACCTTAACGCATTTTATCTTTCAGGAAACAAATTAACAGTGCTTAGCAAAAATAGTACCAACACTACTCTTCCTAAGATCATTTCTCTAGGATTGGCATCATGCAACTTGAGGGAATTTCCTGATTTCTTACGATTCCAAGATGAATTGCGTATTGTGTTTTTAGGTGATAACAACATTCATGGCCAAATACCTACTTGGTTTTGCAACACAAGTAAAGAAACCATGGAAGTTTTGACACTTCCACATAATTTTTTGACAGGTTTTGAGCAACATCTAGATGTCATTCCATGGCAGTCACTTGAGGTTTTAGAACTCAGTTTTAACAGGATGCAAGGATCACTCCCAATTCCATCTCCATCCCTTATTTATTATGGGTTCTCTGATAATTTACTTACTGGAGAAATTCCACCATCATTCTGTCAGCATTATTCTACACGGGTTCTTGATTTGTCTAACAATAACTTAAGTGGCACAATTCCTCAGTGTTTGGCCAATTTTAGTGATTCTCTGTTGGTGCTCAACCTAAGTTACAACAATTTTCATGGTACTATTCCTCAGATATTCATGAACGGGAACCAATTGAAGTCGATTGATTTAAGTCAAAATCAATTGCGTGGGCAGGTACCAAGATCATTGGAAAATTGTACAATGCTCGAGATTCTTGTTATTGGAAATAATCAAATTGATGATACTTTTCCTTTTTGGTTGGGAGCTCTTCCTCAGTTAAAAGTTCTTGTTTTGCGATCTAATAGCTTCCATGGTGCCATTGGGAAACAGAAAACAAATTTGATGTTTCCAATGTTGCACATCATTGACCTCTCTCACAATGGTTTCTCAGGTAACTTGCCCTCAGATTACTTCCATAACTGGAATGCAATGAAAATGGCCAAGACAGAAATCTGGACATATATGCAGGAAGCTTCAGAGTCTCTCATTGCAGGAACCTGGACGTTCCCATGGGTTTATAATTACTCAGTAACATTGGCTAACAAAGGCACACAAAGATTATACGAGCATATCCAAACTGCTTTTGTAGTTCTTGATTTGTCAAACAACAAATTCAAAGGGGATATTCCAGAATCTCTTGGAAGTCTCAGTGGGCTTCAGGTGCTAAACATTTCCAACAACAATCTCACTGGCGTCATCCCGTCATCCTTGGCGAATCTAACAGACCTGGAATCATTGGACCTCTCTCAAAACCAGCTCTCTGGCGAAATACCTCAACAACTTACCCAACTCACTTTCCTTGAATTCCTAAATGTTTCTCATAATCATCTCGCAGGCCCTATACCTCATGGGAATCAATTTGATACATTTGAAAACAGTTCATATTATGAGAATTCGGGATTGTGTGGCAACCCTCTGTCAAAGATATGTGGAAACTCAAGGTCCTCACTACCACCACCATCACTCAGCTTTCAAAGTGATGACTCAAAGTTCCCAAGTGGTGTAGACTGGATTGTCATATTCATGGGATTGGGGAGTGGGCTAATAGTTGGGCTAGTTATCGGGCAGGCCCTGACCACGAGGTACCATGAATGGTTTGTCATGACCTTTGGAAAAGGGAACCAAACTCAGAGGAGGAAGGGACGAAGAAACTAAGTCAAAAAGTAATATTTCTTGTGTAATATATGTCCATATGGATGCTATTAGCTTATGTGAAGTGCAATGCTTCTATCATTTGCAAGTTATCTCGTGCAGTAACACGAGTTGTTTGTGTTTGTACTTTGTTCCATGTGCTACTTTACCATAATGCTTTGCTATGTAGCGGGAGTTACACAAATGGTGCCCTCCATACAATACACAAATGGTGCCCTCCATACAATAATAAAATTACCTAAATTATTAATTGAAACATATTTCGAACATTATTAAAAATAGTTAATTGACTTAATGATTTATTAATAAAATGAGCGATTTGTTATGAAATTAGAAACCTCAAGGGGTGAAATGTAATTTCCAAAATTACTGGGGGTGATTCGTATTTTAATCAAACCTCAGGAAATATATTTATACCCTTTATTAATTTAACTGATCATAATTAATTTAAATCAAATTTATAATAATGATATTGAACTATGAAAGCAGCTAAGAGGATAATGATTTGTACGAATGTGCTTCAAAATATTTCATAGCCAATAATTTAGGTGAGTGGGGAGTGGTGGGTACCAAGTCTTTACCAAAGAAACTTCCTAGAAAGAAAGTTTGTGACAAAAATAGGGGCTTATTTTCCAGCTAAAAATTGGCTAAGAGGCCAATGATTTTAACTTTTGAGTTAAAACTTTCCAAATGACAATAACTAAGGTGAGGAAGGAGGGGAAAAGGGTCTTACTGTACAGCAGCAAGTGTTGTGCGCCACAACGGCATATTTTGGTGCGTTTGTTGTTTTCTTTTTTATTAATATGTTGGTACGTGTGCAGCTGTTCGTTTCTTTACATTACTTTAAGCAAAATTAACAAAAATAAATGATACTTACCGATCAGTCATATTAATTAGACTTATTTATTTACAGATCTTAATTGATAAATTTATTACTATAAAAATAAGAGACTGATAAATTTATCACTATAAATTTATTCATAAAACAAAACACTAATAAATTTATCACTTAATAAATTTATCATAGGACTTAATGAGTAATAAGTCTCAAAAGTAGGACTTATTGGTAATTTCCTCCAAAAATAATGAGGGAAAATTATTTTAAAAAAATATCAGAATTTTACCTTTGTAATAAAATAAATTATAAGTTTTTTTTTTATTTTATCTATTTAAATTTAAATATTTTGATTTATTTTCAATCTAAATCATTGACCTATTTTCGTTAAGTAAATTTAAGCAAAAATAATATTTTAAATATTTTATGTATATCTACATAAAGTTTAATAACTAAAATATTGTTTTCGTTAATTTTTATCTAACAAAAAATGAGCGAATGATTGAGATTGAAAATAAATCAAAATAGTAGCGTTTAAATTGATAAAATTAAAAACTAATGATTTATTTTGTTACAAGAGTCGAACTATAATTTTTTTTTTAAAAACTTTTCAAATAATAATAATAATAATAATAACAACAACATCAATATTGTTCTCATTTAGGCAAACCAATTAAAAAAATTATAAAGCACTTAAAATATTTTTGTTAAATTTACTTGGAACTATGTGTATTATTACATATTATTTATTGTTTTGTTAAAAAATCAACCAATTAATTTGAGTCTCCCCAATTAACTTCAAAGTCTTGAGATTATTCGAGGTGAGCACAAGTTGGCCTAGATACTACATATACTATAGATGACTTATATTTATATGTGAATAATAGAATATAAGCAATTATACTCTAATAAATATCAATGTCAAAAGAAATATAACTAGTTTGATTTTTAAAAAACAGTGCTGTTGTAGAGCTCTAATTAGAGCTGCTACAGTGCAGCTCTAATGAGCTGTCCACCCATTAAAAAAAAAAAAAAAAAAAAAAAAAAAAAAAAAAAAAAAAAAAAAACAAACAAACAAACAGTGAAGTAAAAGACAAAAAAATGAGAAGAAAAAGACAAATTAGTGCTCTATTAGAGGTCTATTTTCAGAGATCTAAATCATTTTTGTTTAAAAAAATCAAAAATATAATAATCAATAAATATACATTACATTTCAACTTATGTGAATTTTCAAAAATAAAATAACAAATACGTCAGTACATATTTCTCCCCACTACAATAAATGCCTTTGAAAATTTGTAAGGTTTTGTTTTATTTTATTTCAAACTAACAGCTTTCTCTCTTTGAAAAACAAACAAGCAAACAAAAAAACAAACAAACAAACAAAGAGTCAAAACTGTGCCGTTTTGTATGTACAGCACTCCCTGCTGTGCAGCACAGCAGGCATCCCTTGTCCGAGGAGGGAGTGGTTGGTTTCAAGTTTTCATAACAACTTTAGTACTAGGAGACATTTTTCAAAAGTACATAAACAAATATATTCTTTATTTTATCTAATTATTTTAGTCAATAAATATATATGTATAACAAAATTTTTACAATTAGTTAGCCACGTTTGGTGGGAGGAATTGTTTGCCTAGTCTCTCTTGACTCTTCAATTGTATTATGGAAATTTTTTTTTATTAAAATAATAGTAATTAAAACTCTTATTTGTTTGTTGTTTAACAAGTTTAAATTAAGAGATTTATTGCAAGTGAATGATAAATATTAATAAGTGTGGTTTTTTTTCTTTGTACATAGATTATAGTCAAGTTTATGTTGGTGATTTTTCCAAAATAAAATGGGTTAAGTTTTGGTACTTTTTTAAAAGAGAAAATTACAATTGTCATCATGTATTTAACACCCGTCACACTTTATCTTTTGACCATTTAATGTTGACAATCAACCCCTTAAATTTCTGGACAACCCCTACATTACCATTAGGTGATATTATTGGAAGGGTAAGAACATAAATCCACAACCCTTTTCCATCCAAACTGTACATTTACTACCCCTTGCACTTTAGAAAGCTCTATATATGTTCCCCTCTATGAAGCACGGATACTCCGAAATGGCCCCCGTACGCATATCGGATACATATCGGATACGCGTCGGATACAGCGAGATACGTATCAGATATGGCAAATAAGTATCTTGTTTTTTTTTTCTTTTGAATTTCGGATACATTTGGGATACGCGAGGATACTTTAGGATGCGCTCTGGATACTTTTGGGATACGGCGGGGCTAAAAAGTAATTTAAAAATTTTGTAACAGGGGTCAAATTATAAAATAAGAAAAGTTATGTAAAATAAAACAAAAAAAAAAACAAACAAACCAGGCCCTAATTCATCATCTAACGCACAGCCGCAAGCAGCAAAAGAGGAGGAGGAGAATGAGTGTGCCCCAAAGTGACACCTCGTTGTCGATCGATCATCATCATCACGAACAGTAGCGTTGTTGGCTCGTCGTCGTCGATCGATCAGGTTCGTCCCCCCCTCTCTCTCCCTCTCTCTCAATCTCTCTCTCTCTCTCTCTCTCTCACGCTCGTCTCGTCTTGCTCTCCCTGCTTTCTTCTCTAAATAATATTTTAATCTTTTTCTTTTTCTTTTTTTTGAAATGATCTGATCTGATTTGCTATTTTTATAATACATATATATATATATATATATATATTTAGATATAATCTTTATTCTTTAAGTTCTATAAAATTAAATCAATTTTAAATTTGAGATTGTAGGGGAAATTTTTATGTATGCTACATTACTAAAAATTGTTTAAGTTTTATTTTTATGTGTGTCATATTACTAAAAATTGTAAAAATAATATTTTTTACGAATGTATCCCTGTCGTACCTGTATCCTAGTTTTTCAAATTTTGTCGTATCGCCATATCTGTATCGTATCATACCTGTATCCCGTATCCCGTATCCGTATCCGTGCTTTCTAGGTTCCCCTACATATATATTCTCTGCATTTGGTGAGAAGAAAACATAGCACATGACCTTTTGTGGTTGCATGTGAAATGTTTTGTGGTTGACAATTATCTAGCTATGCAAATTGCAATTAAGTTAGTGGACATGCAATCAAATAATAATAATAATAAGCTCATGAATTTCATGGTATTTAACACTTACTGTTCAAGTGAGTTAATCAAACATTTTAATAATATTCACATTTCAGAACAAAATGATACATTATGTCAAGTAAAAAGATGTAATTCATGACATTCATATTCGATGTTTTTTTTTTTTGTTTTTTTTTATTTACCCGTTCTTAAAAAAAAAAGAAGGTAGAAAAAATCCTTTCTCTCTCTAAGAAACCCTATTCCCGTTCTCTCTCTCTAAGAAATCCTAAACACTTTATCTTGCTCTACTCTTTAGGGGGAGAGGGTGATGCCTTTAACCTTCATCTCGCCTTCATTTCTTCTCCTGATGTTTCTATCACCATGTTAGCCACTACCGTTCTTCTTGTCACTATCATCGGCTTACTACCAAGAAAGCTTTTAGATCTAATCTCAAATCTTATTTATAACTAAGATCTGATACTGTTAAACGCGTTATTAGACGCTAGGTAACCACCTTAGATCTATAATGTTTTATTTTGTAACGTAGAGGTGGAAATTAAGGTATGAAAGCTACTGGTTGCAATGATGAACGGATCGTAAAGGTGATTGATATTGTTTATTTGGTGGTGATCGCTTTTACTTTATTTTTTTGAATAATATTAGGAATCATGAAAAAAAATATCATGAAAATTTTTCATCATTTGATTAGTGTGTGGTGTTTTATTGTATTTGTAATCCAAGAATGGAGAATCATTCGTGTTCATCTTTATGATATTTTTTTCATGATCCTTAGCATTACTCTTTTCTTTTTTTTTCTTTTTTTTTTTGTGTTGCAATAATATCTCTCTATGTAGATCCTCCTTTCATGGAGGTTTTCTCCTCCTTGCGTAGCGATTATTTTTTTTTTCTATGTGGATATTCGTATCCTTCCTACATGGAGGTTCTCTTTATCCCTTTGGGGACCTATTTTGTACTCCGATGTACTTTATTGAACGATTTATTATTCGATGTGCAATATATTAAGCCTTGTACTTTCCCATCTAAAAAAAACATTCGTATTCTAACAAATGTTTGTTAATGTTATAACGAAACAAACGAAAGCAAGAAAGTAAAATAAGAAATCACACAAAAATATGAAAATATATGTGGTTCGGAGGATAGCTTAATCGAGTGTGATTGTGTCGATCCATATTTGTTTGGAAATCTTGGTACACCACAATCGCGATTGAATGTTGAAATGCAAGCCTCAGCTTAGCAATCATCAAAGCAGCATCAAACACCTAGTGCATGGAACACACCAAATAGAGTGC